ACAGGTCACTGTAGGCCCTCTCAGCGTAATTAAGTCTTTCTTTGTTATTTTATGTAAGATTTTTCAATGGATTGGTGTTGGAATGAAAACGTAATGAACGAATCTTTCGTGATAGATGATTACATATACATATGTCAGACCAATTATCTGTCAATAGTTTCAACCTACTCTTTTTCACAGTTAATGAACATAAATACGGTGTATTATCCAATAAAATATTAAAGTTTTCCATTGATAGTACTGCGCAATCTTCAACAGTTAAATGTCGTAATTTAGTCAAGACATGTACCCAATCTAGTGCATCGAACGAAGTATTAATTATCAAATTGATTACATTACTTCTATTAAAATTTTGATCAGGTTTCGTATAGTTTTTAATTGCTAATGTTTTAATATTTGCGTATAGATTGATACGTAGATGATCAATATTATTTTTCGATAAATTTGAAATCGTTGTTTTTGGAGAAATTTAAAAAATTGTAAATGTTTCAAAAGGAAATGGTATTGTATAAAGAACTGCGAATTTACGATGTCTGTTATACATGTCATGTGTATCATTACGAGCAGACACATCACAACGAATAAATCAATTCTTTTCAAGTACATAGAATGGTGTAGAGAGCGATGCTATGACTTGTTTAATTTGATCGAATTGGTGATAATAATATGCGAATTGAAAATAGAATTTAAAGTTTTTTAATAATGGAAGTGATGAAAGAATTATTTGTTCCCATATTTGACCATTATGAAATGATATTCCTTTTTCTTTTTGATAAATTTCAAGATTAATTAATTGAGATAAATGAGTAAGTGACTGTTGAATTAATAAACAATCTTCATTATTTGTAAAAATGATTTTAAAATGTTTTAATGTTTTTGGCCATTTTAATATTTTATCATTTAAACAACAATCCGTTATTGTATATTCAATAGTTTCAATTTGAGAAAAATTCTAAAGAAATAATAAAGATTCATAAATTATTATTCTATAGTTTTTGTTTTCTTTTTTTTTACTTTCAGCCAATTTGTATTAGTACATGAACTGAAAATAAGGTTTTTTAATTTTGGAAGATCAAATTCCAATATATTATTTCCACATACAGATTCAATTTTGGGTGAAACAAGATTTGTAAGAAATGGAAGTTGAGATAATAATGGATATCAATTGCAAGGTTTTATTTTAACAACAGATAATAATTGTAATTGAGAAAAATTATCAATAAAAGAATTATTTTCAAAAAAATATTTAACTTGTCCAGGTGTATTATTATCATGGGAAAGTTTTAATGAATGCCATCGATTTGTGTTATGACATTGAAATATAATGTCAAATTTGTTTTTACTAATTGATGTAAAATCAAATGATTGACAAAATTCGAAAATTAAACATTGAAAACGATGGTTAAGATTTGAGAATGCAATGACTGCATCAGTGGCAGTTAAATAAGATAAAATTTCAATGAAAAGTTCATTAGGAAAATATTCAAATGATATAGAAAA